CTTGAGGTCAAGGATGGTGTTTCCCCCCAGAAGTTCTTCTATTTTTGAAAATATTTTTCGATATCCTGGGTTTTTGTTATTCCAAATGAATTTGAGAATTTCTTTCTATCTCTGTGAAGAATTGAGTTGGGATTTTAATGGGGATTGCACTGAATCTGTAGAATGCTTTTGGCAAGTTGGCCATTTTTACTATATTAATCCTGGCAACCCATGAGCATGGAAGATTGTTCTATCTTTTGAGATCTTCTTCAATTTCTTTCTTCAGAGACTTGAAGTTCTTGTCATATAGATCTTTCTAGTGCTTGGTTAGATTCACACCAAGGTATTTTATAGTATTTGAGACTATTGTGAAGGGTGTCATTTCCCTAATTTCTTTCTCAGCTTGTTTATTCTTCGAGTAGAGGAAGGCTACTGATTTGTTTGAGTTGGTTATATATTCAACCACTTTGCTGAAGTTGTTTATCAAAGTTTTGGAGTAACTTAAGTATACTATCATACTATCAGCAAATAGTGAAATTTTGACTTCTTCCTTTCCTATTTGTATCCCTTTAACTTCCTTTTGTAGTCTAATTGCTCTGGCTAGGACTTCCAGTACTATATTGAATATGTGGGGAGAGAGCGGGCAGCTTTGTCTAGTCCCTGATTTTAGTGGGATTGCTTCAAGTTTTTCTCCATTTAGTTTGATGTTGGCTACTGGCTTGCTGTATATCGCTTTTACTATGTTTAGGTATGGACCTTGAATTCCTGATCTTTCCAAGACTTTTACCATGAAGGGATGTTGAATTTTGTCAAATGCCTTCTCAGCATCATGTGTTTGTTTGTTTGGGTTTTTTTTGCCTTTGAGTTTGTTTACATAGTGGATTTTGTTGATGGATTTCCGAATATTGAACCATACCTGCATCCCTGATATAAAGCTTACTTGATAAGGATAGATGATTGTTTTGATGTCTTCTTTGATTCTGTTTGTGAGAATTTTATTGAGCATTTTTGTATCAACATTCATAAGAGAGATTGGTCTGAAGTTTTCTTTGTTGTGTCTTTGTGTGATTTAGGTATGCGTGTAGTTGTGGCTTCATAGAATGAATTGAGTAGTGTTGCTTCTGTTTCTCTTTTGTGGAATAGTTTGAAGAGAACTGATATTAGGTCTTCTCTGAAGGTCTGATAGAATTCTGCACTAAAATCATCTGATCCTGGGCTTTTTTGTGGGGAGACTTTTAATGACTGCTGCGATTTCATTAGGGGTTGAGGAATGTTTAGATGGTTTATCTGTTCCTGATTTAACTTTGGTACCTCGTATCTGTCTAGAAAATTGTCCATTTCATCCAGATTTTCCAGTTTTGTTCAGTATCGGCTTTTGAAGTAGAATCTGATGATTTTTTGAATTTTCTCAGTGTCTGTTGTTATGTCTCCCTTTTTAATTCTAATTTTATTAATTTGGATACTGTCTCTGTGTCTGGCTAAGGATTGACCTATCTTGTTGATTTTCTCAAAGAACCAACTCCTGATTTTGTTGATACTTTATGTAGTTCTTTTTGTTTCTACTTGGTTGATTTCAGCCCTGAATTTGATTATTTCCTGTTGTCTACTCCTCTTGGGTGTATTTGCCTGTTTTTGTTCTAGAGCTTTCAGGTGTGCTGTCAAGTTATTAGTGTATGCTCTCTCCAGCTTCTTAGGGCTATGAGTTTTCCCATTAGCACTGCTTTCAATGTGTCCCATACATTTTGATATGATGAGCCTTCATTTTCATTAAATTCTAAAAAGACTTTGATTTCTTTATTACTTCCTTGACCAAGTCATCATTGAGTAGAATGTTGTTTAGTTTCCATGTGTATGTGGGCTTTTCATTGTTTTTGTTTTTTGTTTTTTGTTTTTGTTTTGTTTTATTGAAGACCAGCCTTAATCCGTGATGATCTGATTGGATGCTAGGGATTATTTCAATAGTTTTGTATTTGTTGAGGCCTGTTTTGTAACCAATTATATTGTCTATTTTGGAGATGGTACCATGAGGTGCTGAGAAAATGGTATATTCTTTTGTTTTAGAATGAAATATTCTATAGATGTCTGTTAAATCCATTTGGTTTATAACTTCTGTTAATTTTAAACTGTCTCTGTTTATTTTCTGTTCTCATGATCTGTCCATTGCTGAGAATGGGGTGTTGAAGTCCCCCACTATTATTTTGTGAGTTGCAATGTGTGCTTTGAACTTTACTAAAGTTTCTTTTATGAATGTGGGTGCCCTTGCGTTTGTTGCATAGATATTCAGAATTGAGAGTTCCACTTGGTAGATTTTTCCTTTGATGAGTATGAAGTGTCCTTCCTTATCTTTTTTGATAACTTTTTGTTGAAAGCTGATTTTGTTTGATATTAGAATGATTACTGCAGCTTGTTTTCTGGGACCATTTGCTTGGAAAATTGTTTTCTCTCCGAGGTAGTGTCAGTCTTTGTTGCCGAGGTACATTTGTTGCATGCAGCAAAATTCTGGGTTCTGTTTACTTATTCACTCTCTTAGTCTATGTGTCTTTACTGTGGAATTGAATCCATTAATGTTGAGAGATATTAAGGAAAAGTGATTGTTGTTTCCTGTTATTTTTGTTATTAGAGGTGGAATTATGTTTGTGTAGTTATCTTCTTTTGAGTTTGTTGGAAGATTACTTCCTTGCTTCTTCTAGGTTGTACTGTCCCTCTTTGTGTTGTAGTTTTTGTCTATTATCCTTTGTAGACCAGGATTTGTGGGAAGATATTATGTAAATTTGGTTTTGTCATGGAATATCTTGGTTTCTTTATTTATAGTGATTGAGAGTTTTGCTGGTTATAGTAGTCTGGGGTGACATTTGTGTTCTCTCAGGGTCTATATGATATCTGTCTAGGATCTTCTGTCTTTTATAGTCTCTGGTGAGAAATCTGGTGAGTAATTCTTATAGGTCTGCCTTTATATATTACTTGTCATTTTCCCCTTACTGCTTTTAGTATTTTTTCTTTGTTTTGTGCATCTGATGTTTTAACTATTATGTGACTGAAGGAATTTCTTTTCTGGTCTAGTGCATCTGGAGTTCTGTAGCCTTCTTGTACGTTCATGGGCATCTCTTTCTTTAGGGTAGGGAAGTTTTCTTGTATAATTTTGTTGAAGATATTTACTAACCCTTTAATTTGGGAATCTTCACTCTCGTCTATACCTATTACTCTTAGGTTTGGTCTTTTCATTGTGTCCTGGATTTCCTGGATGTTTTGGGTTAGTAGCTTTTTGCATTTTGCATTTCTTTGATAGTTGTGTCAATGTTTTCCATGGTATCTTCTGCACATGGGAGTCTCTCTTCTACCTCTTGTATTCTGTTGGTGATGCTTGTGTCTATGATTCCTGATTTCTTTAGGTTTTCTATCTCCAGAGTGGTCTCCCTTTGAGATTTCATTATTGTTTCTACTTCCATTTTTAGCTCCTGGATGGTTTTGTTTAATTCCTTCACCTGATTGGTTGTGTTTTCTTGCAATTATTTAGGGGAGTTTTGTGTTTCCTTTTTAAGGACTTCTACCTGTTACCTGTGTTCTCCTGTATTTTTTAAAGGGAGTTATTTATGTCCTTCTTAAAGTCCTCTATCATCATCATGAGTATTGTAGTAATTAATTAAAAATCGGCCTCTGGCTCAAGCCGACTATCTAAGCTGCAGCGGCTCTGCCTAGCCCAGCTGCCATATTTCTCGGCCTGAGCCCACGTGCGTGCTGCAGCTAGAAATGTCCAACTAGAAACACCAGCCCTGCCACTCACGAGATGCCATCATGAGAGATGGCTCTGCAAATCTTCCATGCTGTCTCCGAAAGACAGGGCATTGCCCAGAACATTCTGCCATCCATGCGGGCCCAGTAAGAGAATGAGACTCTAATTCTTATAGATTAATCAAAGGCTTATATATTTGGTAATGATTAGTAACAAAATACCCATACAATCCGAAGAGTAACCTAATACCCAACCTAGATATACCAACTACCTTTGGCTGCTACAGACAGGTGAACATCCGTCTCCATCTCCTCTCTGTCTCTTGTTCTCCTCTCCTGTCTCCTAGCTCCTCCTCTTCCTTTTCCTCCTTTCCTCCTTACTGCACTTCTTCCTCTCCTAACTCCTCCCACCTTAGCTCCTCCTACACATGAGAAGTGATTTTAATTCTGAATCCTGCTTTTCCAGTGTAATGTAGTATCCAGTACTTGCTATGGTGGGAGAACTGGTTTCTGATGATGTCAGATAACATTGGTTTCTGTTGCTTATGTTCTTGAGCTTGCCTTTCACCATCTTGTTGTCTCTAGTGCTACCTGCACTCACTGTCTCTGACCAGAGCCTGTCTTTCCAGTTATCTTGCTTGTGTCAGAACTACTCTGAGTCCAGCTGTCTTTGTGATCCTGTGATCCTGACCTCCTGGGTGGAAGAGCTCCTGGGACTCAGGCTGCCTTTGGGATCTTGAAATCCTGCTGCTCTGAGTGTAGTGGCTCCTCTGCTGCTCTAGGATGGTTCGGGATATGTTTTCATGGGAGCAGCCATGGTACAGTTTCTTCCTCTAAATGTTTGTTTCTTTGTTTTTTTTGTTTTGTTTTTATCATCTACAAACAACATTAAAATCAACTTGCTGTTGACAGAGTTGTAGGTAGTGTTAGTTGGAAGATGGCTCTTTTCTAGACAGATCACACCAGGACAGCATAATACTATGGGAAGAGATTTTTTTATTGAATGGGGGCGGGGAGTGGGGAAGAGAAGAAAACAAAAAAGGGGTGAAAGGTCATGGTCTCTGTCATTTATTTGGGTTGTGAAATAGATTTGAGGTAATGAATAAGAGGAACCACTGCTCACAGGTGAAGAATACTTTAGGACTGTGTGGCAGTTTCCATGGCAACAGACACAAGAGGGTCCTTGTTCCCTAGGGAAAACATTCCTGGATTCAGAGGCTATCTGTAAACCTCTTCTGAAAACAGGTAGGAAACAATGAAGTTGTGTTAGAGAAGACAGTATTTGTGGACAGTCAGGTTGTAGTGGTAAGTGATGCTGGAATATGGCACCTCACATGCTGTTTGAGGTACTCCAATCTGGAAAAGCTTTTGTTGCACATGGGACATGGGTAGTGCCTCACGTCACTGTGCTTTTGTTTGTGTCTCTTAAGTTCTCCTGAGGTGAAGAATTTCCATTTGCATCCAGGCTTACTGCATGCATAAGGCTTCTCACCAGTGTGTTTCTTCATGTGGTTTTTGAGGCCATGAGCCCTTTTGTAAGATTTGTTACAATCCTGGTAGGTACAGGAGTAGCACTTCAAAGGATGAGTGGTTTTCAAGGACACAAGACTCTGGGTCTTGAGGTCTAAGTTCATTTCTGGATGCTGTCCCTGGACCAATCTGGAAGCTAAAGAGTTTTCCTGAGCTTGTCTTTGGATCAAAGGGGAACTTGAATGATATGCGGATTCACCCACATGAGGGGCTTTGTTACTAAATGAAGTCACCTGATGCTCAAGGCTTTCTTCAATATTGGGTGTTCCACATTGACTTGGGTAGACATTCTGATCAACAGAGGTCTTTATCTGACCCAAGTAGAATGACTCTTCAGAACTGGAACTTATCTCTGAATGCCAAGCCAGGTTGTCTTCTGCACTGGATGTTGTCCTCGTAGTTCCATGAAGAGTTGTGTCAAAACTGGTGGTTGGTATTTGAAAGTCATAGAGAGGCTGGCCATCAATTGGACTTGTCACCTCGTGATTCCCAATCAAATCTTGGTCACATCTGTAGCCTGATGTCTGATACCCAGAGAGGGAGGGCTCACCACTGAGGAGATTCTCCTGACTGTTACAAACATTCTGACAACTGAAAGATGTCATCTGATAGGATCTGTTATGAGCTACTAAGTTCCACTGTGAATCCCCCAAAAGATTCTGTTCAGAAAAGGAGGTTATGATTTGATTGGAATGAAGGGCCCGGCTACAACTGAGTGCTGTCATCTGACTTCTATAGTCAGTCGGATGCCCTCTATTCCTGGTTCTTGTCTGACTGTAGTAGGAGGTCTGGTCACCATTGAAAGCCTTCTCAAGGTATTCTTTGAAAGTCTGGTTACATACAGAAGCACATTTGAATTGATCCACATTTGAGTCCTGGTCTGCTTGGCTTCCAGAGACATCAATTTGATGATTACCACAGGTGATACTCTGACTCTTCCACATGGCTATATTTTGGATCAAGTGAGTCTTGTCAGGGCTCAGTGTCCTCATCCAGTAGTCTTCATTGTAGAGATTCTCCCTGGTGTCAAGTACTGCTGTCTTCTGGGGATGAAGGTGGTAATTCTTGTAGGTGCAGTTGAGATTCATATGCTGAGAGCCTGAAGGGGATTTTTTCTGCTCAGCAGACACAACTTGCTGGTTTACAGAAGCAGTCTCACATGGCTCTCCAAAATGGAAATCAATGCCTTTTCCTGTGTTTTCTGTTGAGTTCTGAGTACAGGCTGTTTCATGTGTGCTACAGAATGCAGATGCCATCACTGTTTGTTCCAAGGTAGGCATTTCTGAGCTCTGACCTGAAACAACCTGGCTAGACTTCACAGGGGAAGGCTGGGTATTGCAAGGTTCTGGCTGGGAAGTACCTGTGCTTTCTGCCATGTCCATATAGGCTTCACAGAAGGCCTGGGAACTCTTCAAGTTCCTCAACTGTTGGGAGAACAGAGAACAACTGACTGAACTATTCAGTTGTGAGAGCTTAAAGTACATGAGAATACTCACATTCAGGAGACAGACAGAAGTTAGGTGGTAAACAGGAGCAGGTAAAGAATGTGTGCTAGAGCTTTAAACCTTCATTGGCTCTGATGAAGGTGGAATGGGCAAGCAAAACTTAGCTCCATAGCTCTGAGGTCCCCTTTTATAAAGCTCAGCCTGACATGGAAAGCGCTTCTGAGTCTATGATTTGGGAGGACATACATTTTAGTGAGTAGAGCCCTGTACCTAGAAGACTTGCTTAAACATCTAATCCCTGGCTCTTAGAATTCAGAAGGTGCTCCTGTCTACCTAACCTCTTAGGTCTTTTGGGTGTTAGCTTGCTTATGATTTACTTTATAGATAATATTCACTTATAAGGTTTCATTCATCCATCTTGAATGAGATTGTGAAACAGGATTTGGACAGGAACAGTAGAGTTCAGGTGGGCTAGTGTTGATGGAGAGAGTGAATGAAGAGACACTTGTATGGTGTTGTTAAAACCTCTTGCAGTGGAGATTTAGAGATTACATGAAGATATTCTTTAGTACTGGTGGATACAGAAATTGGTTTGGACATTTTTGTAGCCAGGCACTTGTCCCTGGGGAAGGACTCTGCTGCATTCTGTGTCCTGTCCTATGGGGCCCCATGGAGTTTCTCGGATAACATAGACTAATGTTAATAGAGAGGTTCACTCTCAGCATACTGACAATAGGACCCCATTGTCTAGGACTATATTCACACAGCTCATGTAACCTGGAAAGATCCAGCTGGTGGTAAGGATGGATTAAATGAGAGAAAAATCTAATTTTACATTTAAAAAATGGGAATGGTGAAAGCAAATATTTAAGAAAGTTAGAAGGAATGAAAGAAAGTAAAAGAGACAAAGAGAAAAAATAAAGAAAAAAACTGCATCATCATCATCAACATCACCATCATTTTGCACAACATGTAGAACTGAAAAAAAAAGTGAAGTTTTTAAGGAAAGATGTAAAGGTATACTCTGGAAATTAATTCAGAAATCTGTAACAGAGGAGATTAAAATTTGGCAAGTGCCAGTAATAGCTTCCACTTTTTCACCAATTAGAAAACTTTCCAAAACGAATCCTCTGGTGTTTTTGTGAAGGTATTATTGCATAGGCATCGATTATTAAAACATTTATCAGGTGTTCAGCTCAATGTTCAGCCTGTCTCCTCTCCCTAGAACCTCCTCCCACCATGCAGATTTTCTGAATATTATAGGACAACTCATTTTTACAAAAGACTTTTACTACTTCAATCTGGTCTCAAATCCCTATTTTTTGCCCCTAACTCCTGAGTGCAAAGATTGAAAACATTTCCCTGAAAACTGCCCAAGGTCTCTATTTTTTAAAGCTTTTTTTAATTAGATATTTTCTTTATTTATATTTCAAATGTTATCCCCTTTCCTGGTTCCCCCACCAGGAATACCACTACCCACTCCCACCTCCTCCTGCTTCTATGAAGCTGTTCCCCCACAAACACAGCCATCTACTCCTGCCTCCCCTCCCTGGCTTTCCCCTACATTGGGGCATCAAGCCTTCACAGAACCAAGGGCTGCTCCTCCAATTAATGCTCAACAAGTTCTCCATTTCTTAGTATTATCATACAGCACAACTATAGGTTGCTTTCTAATTGATACCATCCTACCTCCCTCAGTTTTTAAATACTTTATATTTTAATGTTTAAAATGTTAACTAACAATGAAAATATCAATGGAAAGGCAAGAAATTCATCCATAGATTGATTGAATCACCTGGCAAAGATATCAGGGATTCCTTGAAGTCATTTCCTTAGGTCCAAACAGGAGAAAACTGGTCTTTGTGTGTGTGTGTGTGTGTGTGTGTGTGTGTGTGTGTGTGTAGGTGTCCTAAGTATCATCATAATAGCTGGTGGGATTTACCCTGGTCTTTATGAAAGATAAAGTTGAAGGTGCAGAACCAGAACAACTTTAGGGCCCAAGAATTCACTGGGAATCCAAATTTTAAGACTAAGGGGTTTGCACTCAGGAGCTGAGTCCCAGTGTTATCATTCAAGATGGAATTTCTAGATCTTATCAGCACCTGGGTGACCTGACCTGTGGGTCCTAGTTATTCGTGGGGGCGAGGAGGACCACAACCTGAAAAAGAATGGGCGAGAGAGAAGAACGGACTCAAGGAAGCAATTGCTTGTCAAGAGTCATCTATTTGAATGCAAAGCGCCTTTTTATAGTATATTTTACAAGAGGAGGGTGTAAGAGGGGCCAGGTGGTGGAAAAGTACAGAATCTTCTTGACCTGTGCCCTGAAACATTTCATGGTCTACACGGTACACTGCCTTGAATTATGGTCTACCTGCTTTCCTCAGAAGATGCGGTACACTGCCTTGAATCTATCTGCAGCTGCCAAGCAGGATCTTGCGGTTGCCAAGCTGCAGGGGACATTGTGCAGGTGGGAAAAGGTAGGGGGTGAGGGTAAGGGTGAGGGTCCTGGCTTCTGGCACCTGGATTCTTTGCTACATGTTCCTCACTTCTGTGCAAATAGTGGCATGTATTTGAAATCCCTCCCTCAAACAGACTATTTGACTCCACTAGGGAATGGCTCTCTTGGATTCAAAAGTATGTTCTCTGACCCCAGGGGATATCTCCAACTCTATATGTGTTGCCCACAGATCATGTCCCTCAACACCACAAGGAACAGTATTCAAAAATGCTGTATGAACACCTGTTTTCCTAATGTTTTCACCAAAACGTCTCCATATGTTTCTTCCTATAGTGCCCAGGCACTGTGGTAATTGTTGATGACTTGGAGTTGTGCAAGTTCTTTTCTCCTTCCCTGGGAATGCTGTGCCCTTTAGGAATATGGTTTTTTAAGCATTCCAAGAACATGAGATGGGCCAAATCTTTTAAGTTCAGACTCCTTTTTACAAAACCTGAACTATGTTTGAATTCAGGTAAACTAACAGGCTTTTACCTAGCATTAGTTTCCAAGTTGCCCCCCAACAAAACCCAAGCCTAGCTCCAGTCTCTAGGCTAATCTTCAACAAGACCAATGTCTCCAGGTTATTCCCCCAACAAACCTGCACCCCCAGGTTACGAGCCTACCCTGTGCAGAAAAGACAACCAATGCAGAGGAGAGCAGAAATTAAGTTTATGATATGACTCCTAGAACCAGCCAATTATGTTAAAGGCCACAGTAGCTTTCCAAATAGATGCTTGTGTACTCACATGCCCCACGCCCCCCCACACTTGCTGCTTACTATAAACTTGCCCTAATGGACATCTGGGGCTCTCCTACTACCAAATTCCTCCTGCATGATGATGGTGATTTGGAGGGGCCTGAGCTTGCTTGAATAGAATAAAAGCCTACTGTGAGTTGCATCAAATAGGCTCCTATTTGTTTGTTTGTTTGTTTGTTTTTTGAGGGGATGGAGGGAGACCATTAACTTTTCCCTGGTGCTACAGTTCCTGAATCAATCTTCTATATGTCCACCCAAATACAGAAAAAAGATAAATTATGTGGTTTGGAATGCTGTGTCCAAATAATCAAAGAAAAGTCACATACAAATTGTATAACATGGCTTTTTCATGAACATTTCACTCCACTCCTATAGAATAAGTTAAATTTGTGATTATTAAATAAATTTATAGAATCAACATTTAAAAATGACACTTAAATTCTGTTGAAGGCGACATACCCCGTAACAATCATGATTTTCTAGATTCATAGAAATTATGGAATGAATCTTTCTCTATTTACATGTCAAAAAGGGAATTTTTGTAAGTACTTACAGAATGCAGTCCTGCTAATCCAACAATAGTTAGTTAAAAATTAGAAGTTCAGTAGTCTTTTAGCTTCTCAGTCACAAAACAGATCATCTCAGCTGCTCTTCTCTATAAGCTGGAAATTGGAAACAATCGGTTCCAATGCCAGTGTAGGAATGGATGTGTGAAAAAGCTGAGGATAAGCTGATGAACAGGAAAATCTTTCTGCTTCTACCTCCAACAAAAGTCGTGTTCAAGATTAAAAGTGTGTCTTCCTGGCTCAGGATGCAGATTAAAAGTGTGCCTCTTCAGGCTTCAAAATTCTTGGCTAGAACTGGATTAACACAATCCAATCAATCCCTCACAGGTGTGTCTTCTTTTTATAGATCTTTCTTCTTTCCAGGTATTTTCAACTAAACAATCAAGAGTACAAATCAAAAGCTAGGTCCCAACAAAAATGTGGTTTTAGCTCCCTAGAAACCTTAAAAGTAAAGTACAACCCAGTATATCATATTTTAAATTCAGAAGATACCTATCAGATGGTCAGGATCTCAATCTCTTGTTGCTGCCTGATTGTCCAGATGTAGAACTCTTGGCTACCTCTCTAGCACTGTGTCTGGCTCCTTACCCATACACCCCCTAATGTTTATGGAATTATATCCTATCTTTTATGTAAGTTTAAATTAAATGTTCTCCTATAGAAGAGTTGCTATGTTCATAGAGTCTCTTTAAAGCAATATCAACCCATTTGTAACTAAAAATGTTGACAAAATTATAGGACAAAGATAAATGTTGGGAGAAATGTTGATCCTGTTCCACTGTATAATGCTAATTTGAGAAATGTCTTAATATTTGTAATTCTTCACTACCTTAGTTGGAAATAATAACAATAAAGCCAACTTATGTCACAGAAATGTGGTTATACCATCATTAAGAAAGAGTCAATTAAGTAGATTTCCCCATGCAAAATAGGAGGTCTGTAGATCACAAGATACAGCTCCTATTTCAAATATTAACTTATTTGTGGTTGGTTTTGTCATCAAAAAACAACATTTACCTGATGTTGACAGAGTTGTGGATAGGAAACAATAAAACTTTATTAGGGAGGATATTGTTTGTGGACAGTCAGGTTCCAGTGGAGGGTGAAGATTGATTAT